TACCATGAAACAAATAAATGTACCAATAAATGCCCCATTAAATAATTACATTTATCATTTAATTATTTGATAAATCATCCATCCATCCATCCATTATCTTTTACCCGCTTCTTCCATTTTGGGTCACGGGGGTCGTCGGTGCCCATGTCCAGCAATCACTGTGCGAGGGACGGGGTACACCCTGGACAGGTCTTCAGTCCATCACAGGGACACACAGAGACAAATGAGACAAACAACCATTCACTCTCTCATTCACACCTAGGGACATGTTAGAGTTACCAGTTAGCCTAACATGCATGTTTTTGGTCTGTGGGAGGAAACTGGAGTACCCAGAGAAAACCCACGCATGCACGGAGAGAACATGCAAACTCCACCCAGAAAGGCCCCCAGACAGGGATAAAATGTCCCATTAAATACATAAATAAATGTACCATGAAACAAATAAATATACCATGAAACAAATAAATATACCATGAAACAAATAAATGTACCATGAAACAAATAAATATACCATGAAACAAATAAATGTACCAATAAAAGCCTGATTAAATAATTAAATGCAGCATTTAATTATTTAATACATCATTAAATCATTAAGTATATGATTAAATTATTGATTACACAATTAGTCAAATGTCCCATTAAATAAATAAATGTGCAGCCATGCCTACTTTAAATATTTTATGCAGGAAAAAAGTGTAAAGACATAAAACTGAAAGGGAGGGAGTCAAAAATCTGCAAGACTTGAAATGTTTATTTATTATTTTTTTTTACTGAATCCTGTTTACATGTTTTAAGGGGGAGTCAGCATTTTAAACTAAGATCATCTCCTGTAAAGAAAGAACGGTGTTGTAGTCGTCTGGGTCAAACCTTGAAATTCTTATGCAGTATCATGAGATGCCACTCTCAGAGTTTGTGCTGTGAATGACTCTCAAGTACTACCTCACTAAGTTTTAGCTCATTATCTGTAAAATGAGCCAAGTTATAGTATTTTTTGTGTTTGCTTATATTGAATAGCTGTGGCAGCCATTTTGAATTGAAATGACTCCAAAAGGTATTCATTTGTAGTTTGATCCAGTGATTATCTTCTGAACGTTTCATTAAAATCTGTCCAGTGGTTCATAAGATATTTTGCTAACAGACAAACATGGTTGACTTTAATAGTTGTTGCTTTTTGTTAACAAATATTTCACACAATATGCAGCACTTGGAATATGTATTGTGAATGACCCTCAGCTACTACCACACCAGATTTAAGCAAAGTATCGTTAAAATTGATTGACTTGTAGCCAAATTCATGCGTCTTGTCCCCCGTTGTGGAGCGAAGACGGGCAATAAGAAATACCCTCCGTCCATCCATGCGTGCAAGTTGTGAGCATGCTAACTTAAAAAATAAGTGTGGCACCGACTCAAATTTCGGTGTCTGGCTACATGTAGGCATAAGAAAGTTTCCTTTCGATAATTGGGTTGTCATGTCAAAATCCAAGATGGCTGCTGCCATAAATGTCCATTTTGTAGTGTGAACATGATAACTTGATATGAAAAATAAGCAACGATGTGTCGACTTCCATTTGTGACTGCATCTAGGTGTCAAAAAGATCGCTATCAAAAATTTAGTTGCTACGTCAAAATCTAAAATGGCCACTGCCATATATAGATGTAAACCAACCACACGTCTATCATTTGAGGAAACTTTGCTTACTAGTTTTCATATCACTTAAAAATAGTTTCATGTAATCTATTGTGGCTAAGGCCACCACTGGCCACCCCTTGGCTCCACCATAGCACTGGTCCCGGATAAAATTTCTCCCTCCACTCGTCATAATGCGTCATTCTGGACACAAGCAAAAAACTAAATAATAATAATAGTAACTACTTCTCTTCTCCTATAGAGTGTAACTTCTATCTTCTTGAATATCTTTCACCCAAAACATCAAGGTTTTCTTGAATCCCCTGTTCAGTTCCAGTCCAGAAAAACTTGAAAACTACAAATATTCACTATTCCTATCCCTCTGCGATGGGGGACTTCTTGTTAAGTTCAGTTAACTGTGGTAGCCATTTTGAATTGTGTAGACACTGAAAGTGAATCCAATATACAGTGTAGGTACACATCCAATGATTACATTTTCCAGGTTTCATTCAAATGTTTCCAGTGGTTAATGAGATATTTTGGTAACAGACACAGAGACATGAGTAAAAGCATTCATCATCCACCTTCGTCTTTTCAGCAGCAAGCAATAATATTTTGGCCTCCCATCCTCTTTGTTCACAACCTCACATGCCTCTTGCCTTCAGAGTTGAGTTCAGTCATCTGTAATTAGAATATCTGTCAGTCAGCCAAGTCATCCAACAACAATCTGTTCTCCTCAGTTAATTAAAAACGTCAAATAATAAGGTGCTGTTTGTTGGTTTCCTTTTCTGTTTATTTTACCCTCACAGATATCTAACAGATGTCAGCCTTCATCTGTACGCCAGGAATCCAGGACGAGGCGCAGACGGAGCTTCTTCTCGGGAAGCCACCCAGAGAAGAAGCAAAGACTTTCAGGGTGACGTCGACAGGTGAGTCTGAGGCTCAGCTTCTATGTATTTTAGGTCTATTCACACAATTTAAAAGCACTGTTCAAACTATTTTTGTGCACCGCCCATGTTCATGACCAGTGAGGCTCTGGCGAGACGGACAGTAAATTAAAGTTAATGTATGCTTCGTTTGCTTTACTAGTAGCTATCATTTTCAGCCTGCAGAACATTTCTTAGAGTGAATCCATCAGACTGTGCTGTGCAGTTAATGATGTGAACGCATGAGGAAAGTAATGTGCTGTAGAAAAAAATGGACTAAATTAGGCTGAAAACAAGTATCTGAAAACTGGTCCTTTCCTTAGTGAGGGGGATACCAGTCAGTGTGCAAGATCTCTACAGAGGTTGTGGAAATATGGGGTTTAACGGTACATGTATTCATACCAAATATTGTTTGGAACTCAGAGAAAGAAAAGGGAACTGAACAAAGACTTTGTGTTGGCTCCATGTCAAACCTAATTACTCATTTATAACAACATCCCTTGGATAGAAACAGCATGCTTGAAGAAAAAACAAATTAAAATAAAAACCTAGCTGCCTGTTCAAACAGCTACCAGACCAGACGTGGACAAATTCAGAACAAATGCCTTAGATGTTTTTATACCACCAGACAAGTAACCGTACCATGACACTGGATTTATTGCAAGTAATAGAACCACATTGCAAAGTTCTCACTAGCCAATAAAACCATCTTTTTACTGTATGAGCAAGTTCAAGCTACAGTTGTCCACCACTCATCCATATTTTGTTGTAAGATATCGTCTCTGTGTTCTAATGGTCTGAAGAAGACTCGAAGAGGTGTTGGATTCTACCTCAGAAGGTTTACTTTAAACTTCACTTGTAAAGTACAAAATCACCAGCACTGGGCCATACTGGAATTGCCACGCGGTCACAGCAAATGGCGCAGCGCGTCAGTTAATGCACACCTTTCTTCAGAACTGACCACACTTCCCAGAAGTAATCGCCACCTAGACATATGGAAAGGCCCTATACTACATCGTGTGACCAGTTCTCTTCCAATGAATTCTAATCATCTCGTGTTCCAAACGAAGGTGCGTGTCTGTTGGGAATTGTAGACGTGTGTATAAAATTCTTTCCTTCAAGAAGCAGAAACCATGTCACAAATAGTTTGCCTTTTTTAATACATTAAATTATACTATGAAAACTAAATAATCACACATTTCAACAAGATCATTTTGATAAAACTATACTTCATGGTATATACCTAAATGTATGCTAAATACATTTGTTTCCCTTAATGTATCTGTACCAGAAACATGTGAACCCACGATTTTAAAAGTGAGGTGCTTTATGAACCATAATTTTTGTGTATCCCGAAATAAGGCTCCAGAGTGAGGAAATCCTTAAACACCATTTTTCATTAATTCAACCTTTATTTATACAGGTTAATCCCATTGAGCCCCTCAGACTCATTTACAAGAGAGACCTGATTTCTTAACAAAGAGTGATGACAACAATGGACAACAACACCAATAGACATTCATAAAATAGGCATAGGCATACAAATTTGTTTCTCCTTTTTTTTCTTTTTCTGTTTTTTACAGATCAAAACAAAATAGCAATCAAAAGGACAATCGAGAGGAATAGTAGCAAAAAAAAAAAAAAAAAAAACAGATCATAAGGCGATTTAGGAAACTAAAAACAAGAACATGTCTGTATGGGTTTTTGCCAGAACTTTAACAGAGTTTTAAAGTCACTTAGAGAGGTCAAGGACGAGCGCTTCAGATCTTTTTGCAAGATATTCCATTAAACAGGAGCAGAGCAGTTGAAAGCTCTTTTGCCAAGTTCAGTTCTCATTGAGGGAACACTGCAGGTAATAATGTCCTGAGAGCGCACGCTGTAGCTGCACTCATGCAGAGACATGTAGGAGGAGATGTATGAAGGCAGCAGACCAAGAAGTGATTTAAAGATGAAAATGTACCAATGGAAGAGTTTGCATGAAGTTAATGATGACCAGTTAACCAGTGAATACTGGGTGCAGTGGTGGGTACGGTAGTTACAGCCAGTTATGAATCTTAGTGCACCATGATAGACAGCATCCAACATCTGCAGGGTCCTTGTAGAAGCGTTCATGTAAATAATGTCACTGTAATCGATGGAGGGAAGAAAAGTCGCAGTTAGAAGGCGTTTCCTAGCATTCCGAGTTAGACATGATCTGTTTCTGAAAAAGAAACCCAGTTTTACTTTCAATGTTATTTACCAAGTTCTTGACGTGGATTAAAAGAGAGATGCGACTCGACCAAGATACCCAAATACTTGTAGGAACCGACAAACTCAATAGGGACACCATTCGAGGATAAAACTGAGGGAAAGACTGCTGTGACTGACTTCCTGTTTGAAAACAACATCCCTTTGGTTTTGTCTGCAAGTTTGTTGACAGGTGTGTAATGTGCAGTATGATGTACTCTTGTTGCTCTTTTATTCACCATCCGTCTCTTTCTTCTTGTCTTTAGAGTTTAGAGCACCTGCTCCTTATCGTATTTTTCCCTGTATTTGGTGTATTTATGTGGCATTGTTACAGCGCCACTTACAGGTTTGACATAGTTGCAACAGCATTTGTGTCATTTTCTGTTTTCTTTATGGATGGAACTATTTCCAAATATTTTGCTGCGTTCAGGAGGGAAAAGATTGTTTCGGAAAGATGGCATTCCCATGCGGATGGGATCTAAGATAGAAGAAATGATGTAAAGAGCTTCCTCCAGAATATAACAGAAAGTGGTATCTGCTTGGCAGCACATGTTTATCAACGAGACATATTAACCTTAACAAAAGTAAGACTGTCAGAAATAAAGGCCAACGTTCTCATCCTTTAGATGTGACACTGTGGAGAAAAACCAATGCCCTAAACATTAGGGAATAAATAAGGTGAAATATGGGGACTTCTAGCCATCAAGCTAAGATTGTGTTAGGCATTAGGAGAGATTGATAAAAATTGACTGATGCAGTGACATTTCCAACTTCTGCCAGGATTTTAACAGCAGGCAATGATAATAGCAGCATGAGGTGTGGGAAACAATCAGATATGTCTTAGATGGCTTCTGCTGCCATGCTTTAATTAAAAGTGACACTGTTAAAACCACTTGAATAAGCAAACCTAACAGCAGGATCTCTGGAACAAATGATCATGGCTCTGTAGTGAGTAAGCAAATGTGGTAGATGCACAATTACACTATTTAAAAAGGGTTAAGGATGAGATGACGTGCATCAGTGACAACTTGTTTGCAGTTGCATCTGCATCTTTGTGCTTGCCACCTGTCGGTATAACCCAGTTGTTGCAGCTCATGCAGATTCATTGTTTCTGGGTAACATTTAGTCTAGCGGGTCCACCGGGAGCAAATCAGTCCAACCTTTGATTGCTCGTGTTGCACGTATTCTGTCTCCGACCAAAAAGTCAAAAGAGATTGTTAACTTGGGTAATGTAAAGAAATCTTCCTCTCAGGTAAATGGAAAGTATACAAGTAAATATTTTACTTTTTTTCCTACTTGCTGAGCTCCAACTTCCACCTTAAAATGTTTTCCTTTTTACCTGAATGTTGAAATAGTCGGTAAGGTTTGTTTCACCTTCTCTAAGTTTAGATTTAAAACGTTGTTTCCGTCTTTGAAATGCTGCTTCCCCCTTGAGATTCCTTCTGGCGGAAAACTTCCTACAAGAGCCGAGTTTCAACTGAAGCTTTAGATTTTAGCTCCTTTGTTTCTTTTTCTTCACATAATTATATGAATGCAGAAAAATACACGAAGCCTTCCCCAAACCTTTGTGTAAAAAGTGATTGTCAGAAGCTGAGCTGTCACTTCTCGCTGAAACTCGACAAAACTTGGGGAAAATTCATTCCCGAAGCAATCACTCGTCAGACTTCACACCTCAGCCCTGCTTCACCTCCGCAGGACGAGATCTGCCTTCTTCCTTTCCCTGAAGTCCGCTTATCCATAAGCCTCTTTCTTGAAGTGAAACGAGTAGTGGATAAATCCCAAGTTCCAACAATCTGTTTACTGCCTTTGGAGAATTTTTCACACCTAAACTGTGCAAGCTGTCAATCTGGGACTTAAACACACAAGAAAAGTATTTACTTCTCCTCCATGAGACCTATATATAAGTATTACAGTTTTTTATACCTAACGACAGCCCTGTTTTTCATGCTTAGCTGTTTTGGTTGTGACTGAGTAGGTGGAAAACATTTATCAGCTGCCTCTATAAAACCAGGCAGTGTTATGATAATAATAATAATAATTCCATGCCAGTATCCCTAATTTTGGATGTATATAAGGAGAAAACTATTCTTATTTAATAGAAGTGTCTTTTTGTAGTCAGATAAAGATATACTCATGTGGATTGCCAACACAAGTCCTTTAGTGCAAGAGCTAAACTAAATTATTGGAGCAATGCAGGGGATGCAAATATGATACATTTAGTTTGAAATAAATGTTCGTTTTAAACTAGACATGATCTTGATTCTTGTATCAAGGCTGTGGAAGGTTTGAGGTGGTTCAGGCATCTCAGTAGAATCAATCTCTGAGGAGGTTGTTTTACCAAGGAGACTCTTGGGCAGACCTGGAACTTGCTGGAGGGATTAAAGATCTCTGTCCTGGGAACATCCTGGGATGCCCCAGGAGGAGCTGGAGTGTTGCTACATAGATGGATGTTGTTTTATATTTGCTCAGCCGTTATGAGCAGTAATTTGGCAGGTACACAAATGTATCTTTAGACACACCTATTTGTATTTATATACTTATTGGGACATTATATTAACGTCCATACATTTCTGAAGCTTAACCATGACCCATAGCCTAAACCTAACCATTGCATTCCATGCCTAACCCTAACCCCATCGAGCGCTAATCTTAACACTGACCCAAACAATAAACCTAATCCAGGCCCACCTGACCTAACCTAACCTAACCATCTGACCCTTGACCCTAAATTTAACTTGTAACCCTGATCATAACACTTGTGACCTTTGACCCTGGAC